GAGGTGAGGAGGATGAGGATGAATGTGAACGAGTCTTTAGAAAGACTGTAGCAGTAGACAATAGGTTGACAGTAAGTGACTGAAAAAGCGAACTCAGAGGGGTTAAGGAAGAGGATGAGGAGGAATAAGAGTCTTCAGTAAGACTATAGTAATTGACAGTGGGGATAGATTGACAGTTAAGGGCAGAAAAAGCGAACTTGAGGAAGGAATTCACTGGAATTCCACTGAGATGATGACTGTGGGGGGTAAGAATGAATTGAACTGAACTACCTATCCTGGTACAAAAGAGCAGTATTTATACCCTAAGGATGAGGCTATGTAAAACAATAAAAAGAAAGAAGTACGCGCTGTCAAAGGAAGAAAGATAAAGAGAGGACAGCTGCGAGAAGAAAAGAACAATGGAAAAGAAAAAGGAACAATAAAAAAATCTGTAAAGTGTCAAAGTGCGAGAGAAAAGAAAAGAAGGCAGTGTACATAGTCCAATAGCAAAAATATATCGACTCCATAGGCGTGTGGTCATGTCAAAATGTGAAAGGTCCTGAGTCAACACTTGAAAGGCGCAGCCTTGTTCCCGAGAAAACACTACTTGCCCATGATCCCATGTCGCGCAGCCTTGATAACACTTGACACACTGCGAGAATAATCCTCTGCTGCTGATTCATCTGCAATTCCTGCTTAGTCGTGATCCTCCTGGACTTCCTAAATTGTCATAAAGAGGGTGGGAAGGCTTCAGGTACCGCGTGAATGATGGTTTTGGCAGTGAATGATAAGATAAGAGGTAGATGAGTGAGGATAGGGGACTGAGTGAGATCCAGGAGCGAGGGATGGCAAGATAGATGGCTGAGGGGAAGACTTGTGGGTCCATAGCCACAACAACAATGACAAAGCCTTTTACATAATGGGAGATGTAGTTGATGCGTCCATAAAGGGGCCGTTCTTGAAATGATGGACCAAGGATACGATCAAACGCGAGCCGATGACCGATGCGAATAGTAGATTGATCGCTTTGCTGGATCACTAGCCAAGGAACAAATGGATGGTATATGCTTAGGAGCATGTCGATAGTGAAAACAATGGAGAGCATAGTGTGAGACATTGAGAGTATGATGAGCGATGGGGATGTTATTGTTGAACGAATGGTTTTGTTGACCAGGAACGCGATTCAGGGCTGCTTCCAAAATAGGTAAGCAAATTCAAAGTCCGCTTATTTTCATGATGGCGACTTTTAAGCTTTCTTCTCACGCTACCAATCAGTATTGGTGCGCGACATCCACCCACAAGTGAAAATTGAAACCGTCCCCGGTTTCCGGAGTATGGCTGGGGTATGGAATGGTGAGTCTAGTTGTCCTGAAGGTCTTCGTCATGATTGGAGAGTTTTGAACATCGTTCGGATAAGTGTGGTGACTGTTGAGAACGGGAAACAATTCAAGAAGTGAATGAAATGGGAAGTAAAGTCGTCGTGATGCAGCCGGTGCTTTGAAAGAATTTGATGAAGGGGGAAATAAAAGGGGAGAAACGATCTTGGAATCATGGATCTTTGGATTATTTGGGGAATGGAATGGTGATTCTAATCGTCCTGAGGAAGGTCTTCATCATGGTCAAATTCTTCTTCGTCTTCTAAGCTTGAAATGACTTCGTCTAATTCTGCACGGGGTATGACTGATCCGTCTCTGGGATAGTATGGTAATATCCGGAATGCAGCCACTCCTTGACTTCGTGTCGATCCGTCCAGCTCTCTGACAACATATGATCCCGCTCTAGTCTGTCGCACAACTTCAAAAGGGCCTAAGTATCGTGGCTTTGTCTTCCTGTTCAGCTCTTTCTCCACTCGTGAATTGCGTACAAGGACTAAATCTCCTGGTTGAAAGACTGACTTCTTGATGCGCCTTGCATATCGTCGCTCGAATTCCTCTTTGGAACGAAGTCGGGATTGATGAAGTACTGCAGCAGCTTGCTCCAAATCTGAATCTCGCTTGACTAACTGACGAATGCGCAATGCTAGGAGTTCTTCAGTGGTCATGCCTTTTCGAAATCCTTCGACCATGAATGTAGCTTCAGTCAAGTCGAATGGGAGAACAGGTTCGACTCCATATAGCAAGTAGAATGGGGATCTTCCAGTTGATCGTCGAGTGATGCATTTATCAGCGAATAGAGCATGATGAAGGAGAGTAGGCCAATCTTGGATTCGATCGCCACAGGCTTTGACTAGTGATTCTCGAATGTCGATATGTCCTCGTTCGACTACTCCATTGGCTTTGGAATTATAGGGGGAAATGCGAATATGAGGAATTCCGTATCGTTCCAGAAGGTTGGTGAATGCAGCTGAAACTTCAGGACCATTGTCGGTGACTACTTCTCCAATAGCTCCATATCGACAGATGACTTCTTCCCAGAAGAAATTAGCCATCTCTCTTGCTTTAAGTGATCGAAGTGCGCGTCCTTCAGGGGCTCGTGATAGGTCATCTCTTGCAAGGACAATGTATCGGTACTTTCCTGCTTTTGGCATATACATGACATCAACATAGATCTTGGTGAATATCGTGGAGGGGGAAGATATGGTAATGGGGACTTCAATCTTCTTGGTACTGCGAAGTTGACAGAGGTGACAGCTGCTGACATGATGCTTGACGTCCACAAATAAATGAGGCCAGAAGAAACGAAGTCGTAACGCGCCAAATACTCCATAAGCTCCTCGATGTCCAAGTTCTTCATGGGCTTGGGTGAGTAATTGCAGTCGTTTCTGAGGGTCTAAGATAACTAAGAGTGGAGTCTGGCCAGTTCGTCTTCGAAACATCTCTCCATCTTTGAGGTAATAATCTGTGGTTCGTCTGAGGAATCGTAAGCGAGCTTGGGGTGAAGGGAATTCAGGGACTTTGTGATTGTGAAGGAATTGGAATATTCGATGGAGAATCTGATCTTGCTTTGGAATAGAGGTAAGAAATGTGGAAAGGGAATAATAAAAGGGAGCATGGGGGCGTAAATACTGAGAGGTGGGATGTTGAATGGAAAAGGATAAAAGGGCAATTTCGTCCAGCCAGTCGTCTGATTCTTGTTCTTCTTGAAGCTCTTCTGCGGTAGGGATCCGTCGAGACAGCGCATCAGGGCCTTTATGATTTTCTGCTTTAACATGAACAAGTTTGAAATCGAATAAGAGAATGCCTTGGATCCATCGGTTCATGGAGGCATTGGGCTGGAGATCGGGTTCATTGAGCATTCCTTTGATGTATTTAGTGTCAACTTCAACATGAAGGTTCTTGACTCCAATAAGGTAGAGGCGATAATGTCGAAGAGCTCTGAATAAGCCAAATAACTCTAGCTTGGGTTGACTGTAGCGAGACTCTCTTTCACTGATTGGAATTGAACCATAACGGGCTGGTCGTCGTCGGCCTTCTTCATCAATTTGGAGGAGAATGAAGCCAATAGCAATGTAGGAGGTATCAACTGCTAGAATGACAGGTAAATTGGAGGTATAATCAATGCTTCGAAGGGCAGGAGCGTTGGTGATGAGGGTCTTGAGTGTATCAAAGGCTTCTTGTCGTCTATCGTCCCAAATAAACTCGACATCTTTGCGGTATAATTCAGTAAGGGGTCGGATTAGACTTGAATATCCTTTGATCCAAATTTGTACGGTGCCACATAAACCCAAAAATCCTCGGACTTCAGTAGGTGTCTTCAGAACAGGCCAGTCCAGAATCTTCTTAATCTTGGCTTCTTCTGGTAATCGACCTTCTTGGGTACACTTCTGTCCGAGAATAATGACTTCAGGTCGAGCGAGTTGGGTCTTAGCAGCAGAAAATGTGACTCCAGAACATCCGAGACGATGCATAATACGATGGACATCATTGGCATGTTCCCAAACAAATCTGCGTATCCCTGGATTGCCAGGCATTGTCTCTGGGTTGCCATTTTCATCTTCATATCGAGAGGCAGGGCCTTTAATTGGAATATCATCAATAAAGACATTGGTGACTGTAGGGATTTTGTCTTGGAGAATGAAGGTTGTACAGGCTTGGAATTCGGAAACAGAATTGGTGTAGCCCATAGGCATAGAGGTAATGCGCAATGGACCAACAGGAGATTGGAAAGTGGTGAGATCACGACTTGCTGGATCGACTTTTCGAGCATCATATCCCCAGTAGAGATCAAAAACAGTGTAGATGGACCGTCCAGCAAATGGTTCGACAAAATCATCAAGGACTGGCGGCATACCAGCATCGCGGATAGATACTGCATTAAGGGGTTGGAGATCATGGACGATACGAAGGGATCCATTCTTCTTGAGTACACAGAACCATTTTGATCGATAGGAGGCTTGACTTGGCTCATAAACTCCAGCTTCAATCTTTTCTCGTAAAAGAGTGATAACTTTGTCTCTGATGCCAGGGGGTATAGGGATGTTGCGATGAACCCAGGGGATGTGATCGATAACAGGATAGATATAGGGGGAGAAATATTCTTTGTGAAATGTTCCACGCTCTGATTGGTGGAATGCTAGACTGCGTTCATTTAACGACATGACATGCATAAATAACTTGACTTCTTCTGGCCATAGGAATCCATCATCATGGATTTTCAGATCTTGCATTCGTTCGACTGTAAGCTTTGTGGTCGGCACAAAGTCTGGAGGATTAACTGATAGCAACGGCAGTGATAGGAGAGGGTCTTCTGGAATCTTCCGGTGCACCTTGATATTTTCTGGAAATACCCCAGGGACTGGCCTGATTTTCTGATCTACACGTTTGTAGGCGGTTAAGACTGGTTTCGATCCATCGATCGGCTCTGAGATATCATCATAGGGAGAAACAGGTTCAACAGTGTTACATTCGGTATTGTTAACGACATTGGGTGATGTTACAATCAATTCCAGCGATCCAAAGGAAAAGGGAGGGGAGGTCGGTAGAGGAGCAGGCAGGCAGAGAAGGCCATAGAGAAGGAGAAGAAGTAGAGGAAGGGGAAAAATTGAATATGGTAGAGGTCGGCATAGGAGGGGAAAGCAATTCTGAAGTGAATAGATAAAGAGAGGCGGTATCTTGCAGTTTTATGACTTGCTGGTCAGAACAACTGTGATGAGAAAGGGGAGCAGGGGGAGGGGGAGAGGAAGATGAAATAGAAGAAGAGGGGAAGGAAGAAAAAGAATGCAGTTTTACGACTTGCCGGTCGTAAAAAGGAAGAAGCATAGAGTCTGTAGATAAGAAAAAATAGAATCACTACTTTACAGATTCGATCAAAACATTTAGACAGTACCAGTATTCATCTGCTCTTTGTCAGTATCATCATCTCCATCCGAGTTTTCTGGATCCTGACCATCTTGCCCGTAGCACCAAGGTGCGACATCTTCTAAGGGAGCAGGAGAAAAAGCCTTGACTGCCGCATCCCATTCATCTTTGGAACTATACCAGTCTTCATTATAAAGATCGTTGTCAAAGTTGTCAGTGAATCCTTCGCCCCAGGTGACTCCTGGTGAAGTGGAGGTAGGCGAGTAAAGAGGGTCAGGGTTGGGTGCTGAGGCGTCTGACAAGAGACCGGTGTCATTCCAGAACGAAGGGGAATCTGGAGCATTGTCTTCATCTGCGGTCCAGTACGTCTCATTGGGTTCGGTAGAAAGAGCACGGGGTAGGGGCAGAAGGAACAACGGATTTATGGATGGTTGGTCTGGTGTAAAAGACATGAGGAGTATGTTCGCAGTGTCCTCGATGACTCGCGACTCAGACTCTGCTTCCGTGCTGGGCTCAGTAGCGACGAGGGGGGGACTTTGGCCAATATGGAGGTTGGAAGGATTGGCTTCATCAGGTGATCTGGGGCTGGTGTCGCTGTGGATGGTGTTTGAAGTAGCCTCGAGCATCATAAAATCCCTGTTAGGATCATCAGCGTCAGGTTCAGCATCGGGTCCAGCGTCTGGTCGGTCTTCCTCTTGATCTAGCGAGAATGGGGTCTCTTGAAGGGAAGGAATGCCTGGAGCGAGGGAACCTGATGGAGTGGTAACGGGGGTGGTAGAAACTTGGTTATGGGCTGGGAGGAGGAGTGGAGAACCATTCGGGGTCAACAGAAGGGATGATTGAATTGGAGACGACTGGAAAGCGCTTTCAGCTGGATTTTCCATAATAAAGTGAATTTGACTGAAGGCAGGTGACTGAGTTGTGTTAGGCATGGTTTCGTTCTCTGGAATTACAGGAGAGGTAGATGGAGAGGAGGGAGAACCATGATGCTCGTTCGTTGCGGTCGGCTCAGTATTTAAGTTGGTCCAGGGGCCTTGTTGTGGGAACCATCTGACAAATGCAGCTCCAGAAGGGGGTGGGCCTTGAGAAGAAGAAGATCGTCGAGTAGCTTGAAAAAGGAAGTAATCTTCATAGTTAGGACAACCTACTATATAAAAGCAGAAGAGGATACATACAATGTAAAGATTGGAAAAAATCTTGTAACCCATGAGAAACCATGTCGCCCACCAAAACTGAGTGGTAAAGCCAGAAGAAAGCTTAAAAGTCGTCCATCATGAAAATAAGAGGACGTTCAACTTGCTGACCTATTCTGGAAGAAGCCCTAAATCGCATTCCTGGTCAACAAAACCAATCGTCAGGTGTGTTAAGTTTAAAGCAAAAGGAGAAGTCATGTGTCTTCTGAGATGTTCTGGGTAGAATGATCTGCGAGATTGTTGACAGTGTGGGAAGGTTCTGGATCGTCGGGTGCAGTCAATGGGGGATCAGCGGAAGCCAATAAGGAAGTTGAAAGGAAGCCTTCA